CTTACTGACAACCTTTTTAATGGTAGTTTTCCAGGTTTTATTCAGAAATTTCAGAGTTTGGAAGTTCTCAAGCTGGGGTTTAATAGATTTCAGGGAAGGATCCCACAGTTCATTGGAGCTCTCCAGAACCTCCATATTCTTGTGCTAGAATCGAATTTCTTCAATGGATCAATTCCTTGGGAGATAACCAAGCTGGAGAAGCTGCAATATGTTGACTTTTCGAGTAACAAACTTTCATGTCCCATCCCTGAAAACCTGAATGGTTTGAAAATGTTGAAAACCCGACCTCAGGATGGCTCTATTCTTGGTTTTTTCATTTCATCCATGTTCGCTGCAGTAGAGCTAACTGTGACGATGAAGGGATTGTTACAACACTATGTAATCGTCCGCTCATATCACAGTGGCATTGATCTCTCGTACAACTGTCTGACAGGAAATATTCCAACTGAAATAGGAACTTTAGAGGGTCTCCCTATGGTCAATCTCTCACATAATTGTCTCCGTGGTGAGATTTAAGTGGGGAGATTCCAGCAGAAATCACGTTGCTGGATTATCTTTCGATGTTCAACTTGTCCTAAAACAATTTGAGTGGGAAAATTCCATCGGGGCATCATTTCGAAACTCTGAACATAGATGGATCGGCATATATTGGCAATGAGTTGCTATGTGGAGATCCCCTTGGAATCAGTTGTACTGCTAAAAGCAATTCCTCAACTTCAGAAAGTGTTGAAGTTGAAGATGCCTGGTGGGAAAAGTTGTTTTATGCAGTTGTAATTTTTGGCTATGGAGTTGGCTTCTGGGGTTTTTTGGGATTCTTTATTTGATTAAGGACAACTGGAGGAACATTTACTGGATGACCATCGATCGTATTGCATTTGGAATCATCCAACGCATGCGAAAACAGGATTAAAATAACAGAAAAGGACTAGTAATAATTTCGCATAGATGCATTCTCAGATGTTTACACCAGTACTATTATCTTAGCAGTTGAATATTGTAAAGTATTTTTGTAAGATCTGTTAATTTAATTTCTCGTTAAAAAGAGAAAGGATAGTTATTTTTTTATTTACTTTTTCTTTTTTAATGTTTTCCAAACTACAGAGGTTTATGTGATATAAGGAAACACCTGAAGGCAGTGCAATAATTTTTCCAGGATTTGTTATTATAATTAATTTGTCTTTTCAATTTCTACAGCTGATATTTTTTTTTATTATCTTGTGATGAACACTTCTATTTCTTAATCTTTGTTACTAAATGCGTCTTGTTCTTATTACTTTTAACTAATAACACGTAAGACTATCCTCGATATATATTTCTTTATACCCATGTCAAAAGATTCAGATTATAGCTCATTCTTCTACTTTATAATATTTGTTTTAATGTGTTGAATTATTCAAAGGGATAGATATAGGCATGACATGCTTTGAAAAAGACATTCTAGTATCGTATGTGCCGCCCTGAAGCAGGCCCCTCTGATTTTAATCTTACAATCTGCCTGAAAAAGAAATGAAAAAGAAGTTTCATTGACTTTAGATGATAAGATGCCATAGCCCGATGTAAGATTTCATCTTATTCAAATGTTATTTTGTAATAACTTCAAATGAAACTTCCAGGAATTTCATCCAAGTGTTTAGCTGATACCAATCAATGGTTATAAATCAGCAATTAAATTTGCAATAATAAGGACATGTGTTTACTAGAACCATGAACCTTCTGATCCATGTTTCCTTATTGTTTCCCCTGATCTCTAATCTTCCATTCATAACTTGTTGCTATGATCAGGAAAGAGCGGAAATCACATCTTACAGACCCTTCAAACCGGTTGTCGTCATGGCAAGGCCAAAACTGCTGCACTTGGCATGAAATTAATTGTTCAGAATCACTTCATGTTACTTACGGTGAGTGGTTCCGGGTACCCTGCATTTTTCGAGAGAACCAAAACCAGAACCGCACAGTGCAGGTTCCCAAAAAAAGGAACCGGAACCGGAACTGCACAGTGCAGGTTCTTCAATTCAAGGAACCGGAACCTAAAATGCAGGTTCCGGTTCATTTCCCGGGTACCCTAAAAAAATCAAATTACCCCCCTATTAGTTTAAAAAATGACAAAAATACCTTAAAAGTTTACAAATACACTCCTAATAAATTTTGATTACTCATTCATTTATGCCCAATGTAACTCATAACCTATAAATTTAATATTATAAATTAATAATGTTTATAATGTAATATAGTAATATTGTAATTAATTAAGTAATTATTAAATTATAATGTAATGTTATAATTAATTAAGTGATCATACTATAATTTAATGTTATAAAGACTTATAATTATTTAGTAGTTATTTAACAATAATGTAATGTTATAATTAATTAAATTTTTAATAATTTAATTTATTACTTATGTTTAATGTTTATAATATAATGTCATAATTAATTAAGTAATCATTTAATTATATAATGTTATAATTAATTAAGTGATCATACTACAATGTAAATTGTAATGTTATAATTAATTAAGTAATATACTATTTAATTATAATGTAATATTATAATTAATTAAATTGTTAATAATTTAATTAAGTATTGTAATATTGTTTATCATAAAATGCTATAATTAATTAAGTAATCATACTATAAATTTATAATGTAATGTTAAAATTAATAAAATTCTAATCATTTAATTAAGTATTGTGTAAATTAGTAAATTACTAATGTTTATAATATAATGTCATAATTAATTAAGTAACCATTTAATTATATAATGTTATAATTAATTATGTGATCATACTATAATGTAATGTTATAGTGAATTAAGTATTCATACTACAAATCTATAATTTAATATTGTAATTAATTAAATTTCTAATTATTTAATTAATATACTAATGTTTATAATGGAATGTTATAATTGATTAAGTAATCATACTATAAATATATAAGATAATGTTATAATTAATTAAATTTTTAATCATTTAATTAAGTAATGTAATAATATAGTAAATTAGTAAATTACTAATGTTTATAATGTAATGTTATAAATTCATAACTAATTATGTAATTATGTAATCATTTAACTATGTAATGCTATAATTAAGTAAGTGATCATAATATATAATGTAATATAATAATATTATAATTTAATTGAGTAATTATTTAACTATAATGTAATATTTAATTAATTAAATAATCATTTAATTAAGTAATCATTTGTTTATAATATAATGTTATAATTAATATTCATAATATAATGTTATAATTAATTAAATAATCATCTAATTATGTAATGTTATAATTAATTATGTAATCATACTATAATGAAATATTGAAATGTTACAAGAAATTAAGTAATCATACTATAAATCTTTAATATAATATTATAATTAATTTGTTTATAATATAATATTATAATTAATTAAGTAATTATTTAATTATATATAATGTAATGTTATAAATTTCTACTAATTAAGTAATCATTTAACTATGTAATACTATAATTAATTAAGTGATCATAATATAATGTAATGTAATAATGTTATAATTTAAGTAATTATTTAACTATAATGTAATATTTAATTAATTAAATAATCATTTAATTAAGTAATCATTTGTTTATAATATAATGTTATAATTAATATTCATAATATAATGTTATAATTAATTAAATAATCATCTAATTATGTAATGTTATAATTAATTATGTAATCATACTATAATGAAATATTGAAATGTTACAAGAAATTAAGTAATCATACTATAAATCTTTAATATAATATTATAATTAATTTGTTTATAATATAATATTATAATTAATTAAGTAATTATTTAATTATAATGTAATGTTACAATTAATTACGTAATCGTACTATAAATTTATAATGTAATATTATAATTAATTAAATTTCTAATAATTTAATTAAGTATTGTGCTAATGTTTATGTAGTAAATTAGTAATTACTAATATTTATAATATAATATCATAATCAATTAAGTAATCATTTAATTATGTAATGTTATAATTAATTATGTAATCATACTATAATGTAATATTATAGTGAATTAAGTAATCATATTATAAATCTTTAATGTAAAATTATAATTAATTAAATTTTTAATCATTTAATTAAGTTTGTACTAATGTTTATAATGAAATGTTATAATTGCTTAAGTAATTATACTATAAATCTATAATGTAATGTTATAATTAATTAAATTTCTAATTATTTAATTAAGTAATATACTAAATGTTATAACTTATAAGTCAATTAATTAAGTAGTAATCAATTAATGTAATGCTATAATTAATTATATTATAAATCAATTAAGTAATGTTATAAAATTATATAATGTAATGTTATAATTGATTAAGTATGATATTTAACTAGTAATAAAATTTATTAATGTTTATCAATTTATCTTATATAATTACTTAATTGCTAATTTACTAGAGATATGCTTAGAACTTGATAATTGAAGTAAATAACTAAATATATTATTATTTAATCAAATATACTATTTTATTCAAAAATAATTCTTTTAATAACATTAAAAATTTAAAACACTTTTAATTGAATCATAATTCCAATTATTCACTTAATTAATCAAAACTTTAATATTAATATATTAAAGTTTTTAATATGGTGTAATTTATATGTAATCAGTATAATTGTATTAGTATATTTATTTAATTAGGTTATTCCAAAAATTTAACTTTTTCTATTTTAATTTTTTTTTTATATGTAAAATAATAGAAACCCCCCATGATTCACATTTCACAAATATTTCATTGCAGTCTAGGTTCCAAAACAGGTTCAAAACAGGTTCCAAAACAGGTTCCAAAACAGGTTCCAAACAGGTTCCAAAAATCGGTTCCAAACAGGGTACCCTTTTTTCAGGTTCCGGTTCTGGTTCTGGTTCCTCCACACACAAGAATCGAAACCGAAAGCGCACAGTGTCGATTCCAAAAAATTGGAATCGGAACCTACCCGCATAGTGCCGGTTTCAGGTAGGTTCCAGTTCCAGTTTCGGTTCTACCCCCAGGTTCCGGTTCTACCCGTTACCCGTGCTCACCCCTAAATTTATTGTTACTGCTATTGATCTCTGAAACGCCAATCCAAATGCATATAGGTTCATAATCAATATGAATTCAGTGCTGGAGTTGTCGACTACTTCAGCATTAATGGGTTACATAGACGCGTTCGATGGGGTCCCGCTGACAAGGCAGCGGGTGTGAGGGCAATGCCCCCAGGCAATTCATTCATTGTAAATGAGAGAGGTGAGGAATTGCCCTTATTGGCTTTAGACTTAGGAATAGGAATCCTTGTAAAACTAGGTTTTGTCGCTTTAAACCTAGTATATAAACACATTTTTCTCTTGTTATGAGTGTGGTAGCAATCATAGGGCAATTCATTCATTGTAAACTAGAGAGTTGAGGAAATATTGCAATAATATTGACTCGGCTAGACGTAGCCCATATTGGGTGAACCACTTGGCATAGAATTAATTGTTCAGAATCACTTC